TTCTTATTCTTTGGAGACAGCAAGGGGGTACGCCTGGGAGTTCTGGCACGGAGGCCTTCATTACGCAGTGTGCGTCTTATTGTCTGGGCTGAAACTTCTGTACCCACATCTGACAAATCTTTTTTCTCAGTTCCTCAGCAGTCACACGGGGACTTCTCTCCACTCTACGCTTCAGGTAGCACACAGCAGTCGAAGTCAGCATCTTCTTTCTGCCACGACCAGGTAGCGTTTCAACAGTGCCCTTTGCCTTGAATTTGCGAATGATGCTTCCTAAGGTGTCTCTTGGTATGTTTAAAACATCTTTGCAATCTTCTTATAGCCATTGCCCTTCCTGTGAAGAGAAATCACCTGAAGAGAAAATCACCCTCTTCTCTTGTCTTCCTGGACCATTCTCTTGCCTTCACCATGTTTGTAACCACACCAGTAAATGTCTAGAAGGAGCTGAGTATCACAGTCATTTTAAAGCTGCCTAATTGGTGCTTATTATGCTTGATTGCTGCTCGGTGACATCCACAGGTGTTTTCAATACCTGATGGAAAGCACCTGTATGAACCTCTGTTCTTCAGAGTGGTAGTCTTTAAGGGGTTGAATAATTGTGGCAATGAAGAAACCACATAAGAACCATTTACTACTGTATTACATAAACAATTGATGTCATTTTAGTTGCATTTGGGGTAGTATTACAACGTCCTTGTAGGATTTGATTCTGAATACAATTCCAAATGTACACTATAGTCCCTAAACCCCTTTACAGCATTGGGGGTTGAATAATTTTGGCCACAACTGTATAGGGTAGTGGTTGATTTTATATTACATAAGGATAAAACAACAATACTTATGAAAACAATTAATAGTGCAGAAAATACAAAAACACATAAACTTGTCTCCCCATCCCTCTAGGGGGGCCATACTTAAAATGATGAAAACGTGAAAAGGGGTTTTAAAATTCTGAATTCCAATATCATAGATTTTAACTGTGATAAAGTTGTTCATCCAGGGCAACCAATTTTCAGTTAGTATATCATTTTATACTCTAAAAAAAAAAAAATCTAGATCAAGGAGAAGCCGCTTTACATTGTAATATTCTTTATTCTTGGATTCTTTTTGGGTGTATGACTACCTTTTATAGATGTAGCAATATCTCTCTTCATATAAAGTAACAGTAGCTTCATTTAGCAACACCCAGTGATTCCCCAAACACACCACATCATTACGTCAACAGCCATGCATGCCTGGGTCAGCATGCTGATCAATTATAAAACTTTTGGAGTATTTTAACACCTTGTGAACTACACTTTTAACACACTGGTATAATCTAATTTACATAAATTAGCTAAGGTAAAATATTAAATTAATTAATCTTGTTAAGCAGAAATCACTACATAAACCATGGTCACCAGGTAGTACGTAAGGAGAAATTTCTATAACAGAGCTCCAGATAGAAGTGCAACCCTAATCCTTCCTCTCACTATTCAAAACTAAAAAAATGTTTTGGCTGGACAGTTAAGGGCTTGTTCTCACTTGTGGTTGAGTGACAGTAAAAACAGACAGTTGAGGCATGGTCATACTGTCCTCTTACCACCGTCCTTAATCAAATAAAACAACCGGAAAGGATTGTACACGTAAAGTAACCACAATGCTTTGATTCTTGCCCATAGCAAAATTTATATCCCACGTCATGTTAAACAGGCAGTATCGCTGTTGTTAGTGACACATTCAAGTAAATGGGTCTGTGTGGAACCATCTTACAACCATGTGCAATGCACATGGTTGCAATGCGGTGGTTCAGGCTTTTCAGGGTTGTAATAAAAAATGCTGGGTGCAATAACTAAAAACAAGTCATATACATGCACACAATCCACATGTAGTCATGCAGGTACTTTTAATCAGCATTTAAACCATTACATGTTCTACGTATATGAAAGACCAACTAACCAATGAATACCTGCCCTGGCACATCATAGCATTCACCCGGTACTCCAAGAAATAACAGAATCCAACTGCAATATTCTTGCACTATCAAAACCTCCACTTTTATTATCACACGACACACAGGAGGATATATTTTTTATAGTCATTACAATCTGCATAATAACACACACCAATAATAATGTGAGCATTACAGCATGAAATAGACACATCATTTGACAGCGTCACAGCATAGAATTAATACATTACTGAAGCTATGTGGAAGCTGGGAGGAACAAATCCCATTGGAACCAAACTGCCCAGGGGGTCACGGAGAAGCCGTAGGCGCGACCAGTCGATGAGCCCATATAGCCTTGGCAAAAATCCCAGCGTCAGAGCGTCCTCTGGCCACTAGGGGAGCTTCTACTGGTCTCGCCCTGACTTTCGCCTTATGAACCCTTTTTCTGGAAGGTGTCCAATAGTGGGCAGTGCCACACCCACCACAGATGTAGCTAGCAGAAGGGTTCCGTGAGGATAACAGAGTCATGTTCAACCACCATATTCGTTATCTGAAAAGTCACACTTTTGCTTCTTATCTACCCCAAAACCTCTTTTCATCTCCCCCAGACTTCAGGATTTCTAACCTAGATGTCCTGAAACAGGTTTTTATTTCCTAATGTGAAGTTACTAGATGTCATAAACACAGTCAATTTCCATACACAAGTTTTTATCTTGCTACAAACAGAATATCTTGTGACTCTGTTCCTTTGGCTAAAGAAATGACATCAAGTCACTTCTCATGCCCCTGGCATTTGGGCAGCAATGCTTTGCTGTAAAAATTACCCAAGAAACAAAGGGTCCAAGGCCAACACATTTCATAGGCATTACAAGGGTTAATACAGGTGGTGAGGAGGTCACATACTGCCTACTAGTTGTCTATCAATTGCCTTCTGAATAGCGGTCCAGGGCAGATTGCTTTTCTGAAGGGCGGCAAGGCCTGCTGCACACACACCCCATTCTTTTCCAAAACAGCTCTGTCACAAATTTTATAGCACCTCCCTGATGGAAGTAAAGGTACAAGTTTTCATAGGATAGTTCAAACGTTGCAAAGGACACCTACTCCTACAGCTATGTCACTGTACCTATTGGAACCTTTAGTGAAGCTTTAATTTCACTTTAAGGAGTATCTCCACTTATGTTGAGAAAAAAAACATTCCCCTCTGGGTGATCAATGTACATAGCAGGGATTTTAACAAACTTTGCAGAATATTCCTACCTTTTTCTGCTTTGAAGAAAAAGATCTTTGTTTCACCAGACACATACTCATTCTGATTGGGATGGTCTGGTTCATTAATAATCATTTCTGTGTTCTCATGAGAAAAGCTACAGTGTCTACATCCCTTTAGAAGTATGTCACTAAAAATTACATTTCTATTACAGAAAGTGCCTAAAATCTGGCCTATATCTTAGTGCAGACTTCCAGCAAACTCAGTGAGCCAATGACACAAACAAGAAATGACATTTGAAGGTGTTCTCTACATCGGTGAAAGCTTACAGGTTGCCATATTGCATTGAATTTGTACAATATGGCTTTTTATTATTTCACAAAAGAGAGGTTACCATTTAAAGTGTTACTAAACCCACAACAGTAAAATCTGCCTGTATATGCAGTAAAGCATGCTTGTTATACTCACTGTGGCACCCAAGGGGTTAATCCTCTGCATGGTATAAAAACAATGTTTGATCCTGACTTCTCTGATCCTCCCCTTCTTTCAGTGACCCCCTATTATCTCCTGATAAGACATATCGTGTGGAGACGCTCTGCATATGCTCAGTTTGGTGTGTATTGCTAGAGAGGTTTTTTTTTTTCTTGGGAGAGTGCATGTGATCAGCACAGGGCCAATAAGCACTGTCCAGACAGAGGTCACAGGTATTGCATCTTCCTAGAGCAAAAGGAAAACTCCTCCTACAAGCTTTAATCAGTGCTCTGCTGGACACTGATAGAAGTCACAAGACTGTTCTAACTGCTGATGAGAAAATATATTTAGCAGTTTATATTTACTAAAGTAAATGCATTTCCATGTTCTATGTACTGTGAGACCAGATATAGTGAATGCAGGGTCCTGGGTTTAGTAACACTTTAAGGAATTTTCCTAACATTTAGAAAAATGGAGCTGTGCTTTCCTGCACATGCATGGAAAACATTGTCCATGTTAGCAGCAAAAGTCATAGTGTGTTTTCTATGATGACTATTACAATAATATGGGTGTAGTCAAATATTTTTTTTGTATTGGTGAACTTTTTGAACAAAATGAGAGATCTTAGGTATGACCTGTTTTATACTAGTAAAGACATTATAATTTTTTTTTTTTTCCAAATGATCCGTTGGTTCTCAATGTTGATAAATTACTGTTGCAGTCCTATGTACATGCCCCTTCTCTGTGGAATGATAACGTTTCTTAAATTAACCTGTGCTCTAGATATTACAGATGCTATTTTTGATCAAACAGAAAGAATTTGGATAAATGGTCACTGAATATGTACATAAATTTGGGAGGATCCCTCATTATATCTTGATGGTTGTGGCTAATTAGCAAAATTGCATAGCATTAGTGCTTTCAGAAAATAAAAACCATCCAAAGGGAATTTACCCAGAGTGTGTACACCAGTCTTGTAAATTAATCACAAGGTAGCAGAAATTTAAACAAGGAGGTATAATATTCACTAGTTATTTTAAATGAGCTTTTGCCATTGACTTTATTAAAACAGGGATACATTCTCTTTGCATTGGTTATGTATAAAATGGAAAACCTGTCAAAAAACACATACATATGCATATATCCTGCATGCAATATGGCTGCTTTATCCTGAACACCATGGCCATTTTTTTGCCTCCAGTTATTTTTCTGATTTTGAACCCATTTTTCTAACTGTGACTAAACATCTCCCCAACTCTGCCAGCAAACAAGAATGTTGGACCTTGGCAGGAGATGGTAAGAGTTAGAGGTCGTCCCTCACCTCTGCTCTCTGTCTTTTCTGACAGTTTAGACACTGTCATTGAAAGCTTCATATGAAATTTAAGTTTGTATGCATGAGATCAGGGGCGGACTGACCATTTGGAAACTCGGGCACCGCCCGAGGGCCCGGGGTCAGTAGGGGGCCCCATGAGATGCCCCTGGTACCTTTTCATAGGCTTTTTTGAGTTTGGGCAAGGACACAGGGGCCCCATGATCCCCTATTGCCCGGGGGCCCATGAGTTGTCAGTCCGCCCCTGCATGAGATATTGGGTAATGACTATGAAGATGGAATACATCATTAACAACAATGAGCAATGTTTCCACTTTACAACGAGGGGTGAAGGGGCCGATGTTGGTGAACTACACACCATGAAGACCCAAGCAAAGTTTTGATGGGGCTTCCTGGCAACCTCTCTCTGTGGCACCCAGCAGTGAAAATACTGCCACTGATTTTACCAGAGTTGTAGTAACCATAATAATAACACCGATCACACTATTAAACATTATGATGTAATTGTTAATACTCCTGCACACAATTGCTCTAAAGGTATAATAAAGACTTCTTTAAATCTCACGTAGAAGTTTCACATTCGGAAACCCATGTCCATATACATGGATCTGTAAACGAAAGTGCCAGTGTTCACAGGCATATACCTGCATACAGAGTATTTTGTCAATGCAGTCCTATGGCAAGAATAATGCACCAGTTGGGACTCACAGGCACTGAAAATGTAGGCATATTGTATGCTCTACTGTCATATGCTTCTAATTATGTCCATGTGCATGAACCCTTAAACTCTGGCTTTTTGCAGTACCTTAGCTGTCTTATAAAAATATTAAAAAATAAAAAAAAAATTAAGTCCCAAGCAAGAAGCCATAGTCTCTGTATGGTAGATCCAGGTGTGTTAATCCTCTTCTAGAATGGCTGCAGCTCTTCTAACAGGGCATTGGATATCTCTGTGAACCTAAAACAATAAACAAACAGAAGGCGCCACCATCTAAGTGTATCAATTTAATTAACAGCCTCCTGTCCGCCCTATTGCAGTAATACTGCTACAGGGCGGCACGGGTCTGCAAAATCATGTATATATACATGATTTTGCACTTCCAGGTAGGGGGCACGCGTGAGCTGCATGCGCCCTACCTGTGCCGCTGTTCGTGGCCTCAGCTGTCAATCTCCAGGTCCCAGCCAGTGATTACTTGCCGGCTCCCAGTGATCAAGGAGCATTACCAATGGAGGGAGATAACTGTAAGTAAACAATACAGTTCTCTCCCCCTGTCAGCTCTTGCACACTGCTATGCATGGCTTTGCATATCAGAGCCATGCATAGCAGTGTGGTTACAGTGAAGAGCACACACACACACACACACACACAGCACACAGTAAAACAGCACACAGTTAACCCTTTGATCGCCCCACATGTTAACCCCTTCCTGCCCAGTGCCATTAGTACAGTGTCAGTGCTTTTTATTAGCACTGATCACTGTATTGGTGTCACTGGGGATGGCAGTGACACTAATCAGTTCCCCCCAGTGTCAGAATGCCCGCTGCAGTCCCGCAGTCCCGCTATAAGTCTCTGATTTCCACCATTACTAGTAAAAATAAAAAAATCCCATTTGTAAACGCTATAACTTTCATGTAAACCAATTAATTTACACATATTGAGGTTTTTTTTAGCAAAGACATGTAGCACAATACATTTTGGCCTAAATTTAAAAACGAATTTTGATTTTTTACATTTTTTTACTGGATAAATTTAATAGCAAAAAGTCAAAATATTGTTTTTTTCTTTGTCTGCCTTTTTTTTTTTATAGCACAAAAAAATAAAAAAACACACAGGCGATCAAATACCAATAAAACGAAGCTCTATTCATGGGGAAAAAAGGACATAAATTTCATTTGGGTGCAGTGTTGCATGACTGCGCAATTGTCAGTTAAAATAATGCAGCGCCATAATGCAAAAAATGGCCTGGTCAAGAAGGGGGGGAATCCTCAGGAGGGCAAGTGGTTAAAAACAAGGAAAGGAAAGGATTAAAATACACTCACAAGGATGAGAGTAAGTGGGCACATCCACAGTCCTTATTCTCTGGCAAGCCTTGGTGGACAGTGGGTGGATGGATGGATGGATGGATGGATGGGATGTATTCTTAAAACAGCTCTGCAAGACAGATGGAATAGAGCTGGACTCTGTCAGAAGCAAATTATGTCCATATGACAGGTGATGTGCATCTGACGTCAGTTCATTGAAACAATCAACTTCTCAGGTGCTCAGAACAGAACAAGAAGCCTTTGACAGAAGCCTTTAAAGTGTTGCTAAAGGCAGATTTCTTAAAAATTAAAATAACAAACATGTTATACTCACCTGCTCTGTGCAGTGGTATTGCATAGATTGGCCCCGATCCTCCTCCTCCCAGGTCCCCTGCCAGCTCTCCTGGCTCTGCCTCTTTTTTGTGTGTCAGTGACACCAAGTCAGTTCCCCCCAGTGTCAACGGGCATTCTGACACTGGGGGGAACTGACTTGGTGTCACTGACATCCCCAGTGACACCAATACAGTGATCAGTGTGAAAGTGCTAATAAAAAGCACTGACACTGTACTATAATTTGCTATGACTTGCTATGGGAACATAGCAAGTCATTTGCGAGGGGACACAAACTGTGTGTATGAAGCCATGCCTCATAGACACACACAGTGGGACTTAGCCCCCCCCCCCCCCCACACACTTCCTCTTCCTGCATTTGACTGAGTGCCAATGGATCCTGCTGCTGTTCGAATCCCTGTGTGGAATCCCTCTAGAAGCTGGAAATCACTGTAGCAAAAACCGCTACTCCAGTGATCTCCACTAGTTTCTGGGGTTCTGTGCCAAGCGGCTGCCCTGAAATTTGAGAACACAGGAAGTCGGATACTCAGCATGGCTTGTACAATCAAAGAATGCTTTTATCCATTGAGAAAATGCAAGGCTTTCTTTGAATGGTGCCCTCCTCCTATGTTTACAATGCAGCAGGGGACCTGAAAGCTAGTGGAGATTAGTGGAGTAGTGGTGTATACTATAGTATTTCCTGCGTCTATAGGAGCTATTCACAACCAGGGTTCTGTGGAACCCGAGATTTCTGCCAGAGGTTGCTAGGTGTTTCTTGAGATATGGCTAGTTGAGCTCCTATTTGATGGTGACTGCAAAGTTGCAGGGCCCAAACCACTTAGCAGAGTCAGCGACATGACATCAAGGATGTATTTAGCTACCTGTAAGGGTGGCATTGTGACCACCACTGTAAGGGGGGCATTCTTCCCACTGACCACCACTGTAAGAGAGGCATTCTTCCCACTGACCACCACTGTAAGGGGGTATTCTTCCCACTGACCACCAATGTAAGGGGGGCATTCTTCCCACTGACCACCACTGTAAGAGGCATTCTTCCCACTGACCACCACTCTAAGGGGGTATTCTTCCCACTGACCACCAATGTAAGGGGGGCGTTCTTCCCACTGACCACCACTGTAAGAGAGCCATTCTTCCCACTGACCACCACTGTAAGGGGGGGTATTCTTCCCACTGACCACCAATGTAAGGGGGGCGTTCTTCCCACTGACCACCACTGTAAGGGGGGCATTTTTCCCACTGACCACCACTGTAAGAGAGGCATTCTTCCCACTGACCACCACTGTAAGGGGGGCATTCTTCCTACTGACCACCACTGTAAGGGGGCATTCTTCCCACTGACCACCACTGTAAGGGGGGCATTCTTCCCACTGACCACCACTGTAAAGGGGGCATTCTTCCCACTGACCACCACTGTAAGAGAGGCATTCTTCCCACTGACCACCACTGTAAGGGGGTATTCTTCCCACTTACCACCAATGTAAGGGGGGCATTCTTCCCACTGACCACCACTGTAAGAGAGGCATTCTTCCCACTGACCACCAATGTAAGGGGGGGCGTTCTTTGACCCACTGAGCCACCTGACCACCACTGTAAGAGGGGTATTCTTCCCACTGACCACCACTGTAAGGGGGGTATTCTTCCCACTGACCACCAATGTAAGGGGGGCGTTCTTCCCACTGACCACCACTGTAAGGGGGGCATTTTTCCCACTGACCACCACTGTAAGAGAGGCATTCTTCCCACTGACCACCACTGTAAGGGGGGCATTCTTCCCACTGACCACCACTGTAAGGGGGGCATTCTTCCCACTGACCACCACTGTAACAGGGGCATTCTTCCCATTGACCACCAATGTAAGGGACAATTTCCCCAGTGACCACCATGGGTGGAGCATTTTTCCCACTGACCCCCGATTAATTGATTTTAGCAGGGGACTCCCCCCAGACATGTAAATTATTTCATAGATTTTTCTAGGTAAAAACTGTTGAGAAAAATTCTTTTAGTGTGAACCCACAGTTTTGGTATAAACATAGTTGCAATAGTTCAAGATGAACCAATGTAACTATGTAAAAATATTCATACCTGGACTTCTTATTTAATGCAAATGATTTTCTATGCTCAATTTGCCTTAACGCCTTCTCCAGTGGGGCCCTACACTAGATGTGTGAGAGGGCTCCATTGAGCTGCTATGGCAATTGTTATATCACTGATTCATAATTAAAACAGGAAATGTTTAAATTTGAACATATAGCCAATAATATATGTAAAGAGTTATGGCAGGGTTTACCTACTCATTGACCTCTTAAAGCGAGTATATGAGAACAACATTCTGGGAGATGCCTCTTTCATGCATATCTAGTGGAGATGTCCTGTTGTTAGCCATTTTTGGTGTAATTATATATAAGAACCTAAGCTATGCTTTTCATGCTCGTAAATAGAGTTTAGTACCTTAGATCTACTTATTCATGTTCCAAGAATTTGTATTTCAAAAAATAATTCAATATATATGTATATATATATATATATATATATATATATATATATATATATATATATAAATCTATGTTAAAATTACTTTTTTATATGTTAAAAAAAATCTGAAGAATATATTTTTAAAATATATATTTTTTTTTTACGTATAAAAAAGTCATTTTAACATATATTTTTACATATATTTGTAAATGCATTCCAAAAATGTAGATTTGTATTTTTAAAGACAAATATATTTCAAATATATTTTTCTTCCATGTGGGGAATGTTTTTCATTTTTTTTCTATTGTAAACAAAAATTTAGAAAACATTCAAAAATATGGCATATACAATCTATATATTATGCAAAATTATACTATAATATAATCAGAATGATATATTATACAGGTTTAAATTGTATATCAATTGTGGCTTGGATATACTGAAGCTGCTTAGCCTGACCTAATATGTTACTTGGCCTTTACGTT